CTGGTAGAGAGAGAGAGAGAGAGATACCCCAAAATCTTGGGGCCCCTGGAAAAGAAGAGAGAGAGAGAGAGAGAGCGAGCGGGAGCCAGGAGGGGGTGACCGCCTTCCTCCTCTGAGAGAGAGAGAGAGAGAGGGAGAGAGAAAGACAGAGAGAAAGAGAGAGGGAGAGGGAGAGAGAGTGAGAGAGAGCGAGGGAGAGACAGAGAGAGGGAGAGACACAGTATTTACGTCACTCCAAAATCCATCGATCTTATCGTGTCTTACCTGCCTGCAGGATGCCTCGTAAATCAAGTAGAAAAGCCCAAACCAACCTCCTAGAAATAGGTGACGGCATTCACATTGTAGGCATGTATCTGCTTGTGTGTATGCATGTAAGTATGTGTGTATGTATGTTTGTATATATATATATATACACATGTCTGTATGTCTGTCTGTATGCATGTATGTACGTAGGTATGTAAGTAAGTAAGTAAGTAAGTATGTATGTAGGTATGTATGTATGTATGTATGTATGTATGTATGTATGTATGTAACGATACCTCTGCTCGCATTGCATTGGTTCCACTGGCCTGGGGACCTCTAACTCTGGCTCTCGCTCTCTCTCCCTCCCTCTCTCTCGAGTATCTAGCCATCTATCCATCTCTCCATCCGCCTCTAGAGATATCTGCCTACTTATCTATCCACCTGCCTAGCTCTCCGTATGCCCATCTACACTTGTACTTATATATCTGCCTGTTTCGCTCTCTCTCTCTCTCTCGCTCGCTCTCTCTCGCTCTCTCTGGAGCTTGAGAAGCGTGTCAAGCTCCCCGGGCCACAGGCCCACCTGTAGTGCTCCAAAGCCGAAAGCCCAAAAGCTTTCGAGTCGAGTTGGGACCCAAAGGGTTGAAAACTTATGCCCTATACCCGACACCAAGGGATTCAGGGGTGAAGGGCTAGAGCTAGAGTTGGGTTTCTTTTACGGTGCTTAACTGAGGGCTTCGACCGGCGCAACTTGACCCTTTTCAGACCCCCGAGGATTGCACTTCAGACGCACGACCTCAACATCTCAGACCAAGCGCCAGCCAGAAGATGCCAGAAGCCTCCAAAAGCAAGACTTGCAAAGCAACTGAGCTTTAAGCTAAACTTTGTACCCTAAGCCCGAAAATTCAGAGTTTGCGACTCGTCAGAGTTGTAACTCAAACCCTTAAACCTTGAAGCTGTAACCCCAATACATGCAACCCTCTAACCCCTAAACCCAAAAAGCCTGGTTGAAGGCATCGCACCGACACTTCAGCCTGACCCGAGCCTTTTCGTGTAGTTTCGGGGGTTAAGGTCATGAAACATCTCACGCCGTAGGCACAAGAACCCCCGATCCAACAGTCCCAGTTTCTGAAAGAACGAAACCAGTGTGGGGGGACATCTCTTAACCCTAAACCCTAAACCCCTAAACCCTAAACCCTAAGCCCCTAAACCCTAGACCCTAACCCTAAACCCTAAACCCTAACCGTGTGACATCTCTTGCCAAGCCTTGCCCATGGCAAGCTGCAGTCTTCTATCCGGCATGCCTTCGCGGAGGTGCGGAAGCCGAAGACGGATTTCAGGGTGATGGAGAGCCCAATACCCCTTAAATAAGGAATATACCTTAAATCATAATATTAAGGCCCCTATAATTTAAGGTATATTCCTTGTTTAAGGGGTATTGGGCCTCATCACCGAAGCACAGTGCGGCCGTAGAGTCGTAGAGACAACAGAGACCCTCTTTTGTGGGGTTTCCGGTCATGCCGAGGTTCCACTTCAAGGTTCGGGCTTTAGCTCCTTGCTCCACACCTCCTTCAGGTATGCCTCGGAGACCCGAAACCCGAAACTCCTACGTAACCCCTAAGCCCTAAACAAATTAAGTCCTACACCCCAAGGGGCGGCTTGGAGGAATGCGCCGTGCCGTCCGCCGGTGCAAGGGCCGAGCTGTGCCTGAAAGCTCAGAGGCCGAGGCCGAGGTGCGAAGAATTCGCAACAGTATTCCCTTATAGTACCCTTTTTTTGTGTGCTATGCCATCCCCGAGTGCCTATATAATTTCAAGCCCCAAAACCAAGCTGTAGGCAGAAACCTTAAACCCTAAATGTTGCCATATTATGAAGGCCCCTATACTAAGCACTTAAAGTAACCTTGATCCTGTAATCTGCCTATCGAGGCCCCAGTAGTATCATCGGCTCATGCGACTGGCCTGTCAGTTCTGGGAGTGCACCCAAGACTTTAGTGCTTAGCCGGGGGTTTAGGGTTCTGATGTTTTTTTTTCGCAGGGTGCTTCTGCATGCTCGACTCGAGTCCGTGTGGGTGAGACGGTCAGAGGCAGAGAGAGAGAGAGAGAGAGAGCGGATGTTTCTAGCCTCGTTTCAGCTCAACTGTCCCCCTGCCGCGGAGGCGGGTCTATGGCGAAACCGCACGTTTGTGGCAGCTCTTTGGCGTACTCAACTTGCCAAGCGCCTAAGTCCAACTCTCAAACTTTGAAGGAGCAACCCTCAATCCTGGGGCCAAGGAAGCACCACGATACTTCCTTCAGAGCATGGGTTTCATGGCAAGTTCGTGGTGAGTCTGATTCAGGTGGTACTGGTTCAACAGATGGGTGATGAAGACGCAACGATCACACTATTGACAATGGTGTTTGCATCGTTGTTGCAGCGCGGCCGTTGAAAGCGATAATGCTGATGATGCTCATGGTGGTGATGGTCATGATAGTGACTATGTATATGAAGATGAAGATGAAGACGATGAATATGATGAAGATGATGTGATGGACTGACGGTGACAATGCGCGTAGTTGCGATAATCTTGTTGGTGGTCGTGGTTTACGATGACCCTGTCGGTGTGGTTGGCGAGGCTGTGATGTTGATGGTGTTGGTGGTGGCGGTGATGGAAGTGATGGTGACATGGTCCCTTCTGCACAAAGTCTTCTTCTCGCTGTCGTGGCGCTTGCATGGAAGAACGCTGCCAGCGTTACAGCTGCTACTGCTGCTACTGCTATACTACTGCAGCTGCTCCCACAATTGCTGCTGCTACTGCAGTGCTACTTTTACTGCTACTTCTGCTACTACTTCTGTTACTATTTCTGCAACAACAACTGTTGCTACCACTTTTACTATCTCTACCAGCACTACTATCACGACGACGACGACTACTACTGCTGCTACTACCACTTCTACTACTACTACTACTACTACTACTACTACTACTACTACTACTCTTACCACTACTACTACTGCTACTACTACTGTACTCTACTACTACTACTACTACTACTACTACTACTACTACTTTTACTGCTTACTGCTTCTGCTACAACTACCACTAGTACTACTACTGAGTTACTACTGGACTTCTACTACTCGCTAACTAAGGCCCAAAAGTTTGGAAACACAGAGCCGTATTGCGACCTATCACAACCCGGAGGAGAAAACACAAAATTCAAAATATTTAAGGACTCACACACGCCTTCCTTTTCTGCACCGCAAGCGGATGTCACAGCATTAGTGCCGATGTTTTGGCACATTCAAATCTGCAGCGAGGTGAGGGAGGGAGAGGCGGGATACTTGAGCGACGGCGGCAGTGCGATCGTCCTTAGTGAGTCAAGGACTCACACACGCCTTCCTTTTCTGCACCGCAAGCGGATGTCACAGCATTAGTGCCGATGTTTTGGCACATTCAAATCTGCAGCTCCACCCGTTCCGCCCACCCACGTCGTCGCGATCATCCTCGCTGCAAACAGTTTATACCACGCCTGGGGCAAAATGCCCGTGGTAACAAAGAAGTCGACCTTACGGAGCACGTCACTGAAGGCTTCCAAAGCAGCCTGTATGAGGCCCTTTGTCTCCTGCTTTAACGAAGGGAGGAACTGGATCGACGAGACCTCCTGGATGTAGATCTCCATGATCTTTGCCGTGAGCCAGCGGCCCCGCCGTCTCACCAGTTCAGAGTCCTCGTTCTGCATGAGCAGCCAGGTAGCCCCGCCAGCGCGGAGCGACGCCAGTTCAAGACCTGGAGTCGCTCCGGACCAACCACACGGCAGCTTCAGGGCGCCACAGAGCTGGCGAAAGCGTGTACGTAAGGTCTGACCCGAAGAGGGCCACAACTTTTCGAAAGGTCGGAGACCACGAAAAACAAGCGTGACGATCTTCAAGATGTCGGGCTGGTCTATCCGCACCGATTGGTGCCTAGCAGCCGAGTACCTGGTTTTTGGCTCCCTGATGGTCAGGAAGGCGAAGTCTATAGTGTCCCACACGTCCGTGGGGAGCATGAGGTCTGCTCGCTTTGCTCCCAGCAGGGCCTCGCCGATACGAAGAAGCCCACCCCAGGTGAGTGCAAGTACTCCAGCTGTGCGCGGCCATCCCCAAAGGAAGGCAGTGGTGACGAGGGCGAGGAGGATCTGCCAAGGCATAGCGATGTGATGCCGGCCCGGCTCAGCACGTTTCCAGGAAAAAGCCAGGTCCCACGCGGGCTGAAGCAACCTTCTGAGCTTTGGGACCCTAGCCGAGTAGGCGTTGACAAGCTCGCTGTAGTGGGAGTAGGGGCGGCCTGAACGGTACAGCTCCCGCCCATAGCGGGTCAGAACACAGTTCACCGCATCAACGTCGTTGGTCCCCGGGGCTTCGGTGAGCTCGGTAACGGCTATCCCTTGGCCCAAAAGCCACTGGCAAAAGGCGCCCCAAAG